ATAAAACCAAAAGAATTCAAGCCAAACATGTAATTTAATTTCTGAAAACTAGAAACAAAGCGAAAAGTCTTGCTAGAATGCCAGAGAAAAATGACATATTACTGGTAGAAAAGAACCAACTTGAATGGCAGTAGATTTCTCATCTGAAACCATGAAATTAAAAGGAAATAGCACAATATTTTTCAAGTCCTTGGTGAAAGAAAAGAATGTCAATCACAAATTCTATATCTAGAGAAACTATCCTTTAGGAATGAAGGGGAAACAACAACATTGTCAGACTAAGGAATATGGAAAGAATTTGTTGCCAGCAGACCTACCCTTAAAGAATGGCTAAAGGGAGTTGTTCAAAAAGAAGTGACAAAAAAATTGGATAGGAAGATGAAGCAATGCAAATAACAGAGAAGTGAATATATTCAATAGACAATACCTTTTCTCATGCGTTTCATAAATCACATTTTATAATTAGTCCCCACCAAAAAAAAAAAAAAACATCTAGTTATCAGGATGATGATATTTAAAAGTAGGGAAGGTTAAGGGACCAAAATCAAAGTTAGTTTCATACTTCACTTTAAATATTAAAATACTGGTATCAGTAGACTGTCATAAGTTATATATGGATGCTGTAAAACTCAGAGTAACACCTAAAAAATTATACAAGATACCATAAAAATTCAAGATGCAATACTCAAAATTTTTCAAGTAACCCACAAAAATGCATGTGAAAAGAATAAAGAATCAGAACCGGAAAAAGGTAATAAAACAAATAAAGTGGTGGACTTACATACTAATAATTTAATAACTATCTTAAATACAAATGGTTAAATGCACCAGCCAATAGGCAGAAATTAGCAGAATGGTTTTTAAAAAATGACCCAAGTAGATCCTATTTACAAGCTCACTTCAAATTCAACAACATAAGTAAGATGAAAGTAAAAGGATAGGGAAAAAATACCTCTTGTGATTATTAATAATAAAACAAGAAGGAGTGGCTATATTAATATTAGATAAAGTAAACATCAGAATAAGCAGAAAGATTGGAGATAGAAAGGTACATAAAACATACAGTGCTAGAGGGACCAATCCATGAAGGAATCATAAAGATACTAAATGTATCACACAACAGAGCAATGCCTCAAAACTCAAGAAGCTGAAACTGGCAGAGCTGAAAGGAGAAACAGAAAATCTAAAATTATAGTTAGGGACCTTCAACATCCCACTCTCAGCAACTGACAGAACAGCTGGACAGAAAATCAGTAAAGCAAGAAGCTAAACAGCACAATCAACAAACAGGAGCTAATTGATATATACAGAGCATGCCACCTAACAACAGAATACACTATTTTTCAATAGTCACAAAATATTTACAAATATGCACCATATTCTGGGCCATAAAAATCATCTCAACAAATTTTAAAAGAATTGAAATCACAGGGTGTATTCTGACAATAATGGAATCAAACTAGAAATCAATAACAGAAAGATAACAAGAAAACACCTAAACACATGAAAATTAAACAACTTCCTTTTAAACAAGCTACATGCCAGGAATTTAGAAAACCTAAATAAGGGACCAGGAAAAAGACTAATTATAATAAAGTAAAAATCAAAATCAACATGCAACTATAAACCAGAGACACACTACAGGGGTTGGGGCGGCGGGGAGAAGAAGGGAGCAGGATCAAAACAAGTGGGGTGGGAATTGTATGGGGACTATAACCAAGATGAAAATGCATACATTGTGCAAAAATGAAAAATGATGTAAAAAAAATAAATATTTAAAAAATTAAAAATAATAAGCTGCATGTTATGGAAAATGTCGAAGGAAAATCCAACAATATGTCCAATTGAATAAAAATAAGAATATGTCAATTTTGCGGGATGTAGCTAAGACAGTGCCAAGGAGGAAACTTGCAGCAGTAGTGTTGACAAAAAGAGGAAAGGTTTCAAATCAGTGCCCTACATTTCTTCTCTTGAAACGCCCCTGTGCAAAGAGTGAGAAGGGCATGATCCTTACCCACCCTGCTCTCTAGCATTTGCAACACTTCTCCTGTAAGATGTCTGGGAAAGTGCACCTTGGAGAGGAGGAGGTAGAGAATTTTGCCTTCCAGGTAGAAATCACCCAAATTCCGTCACTCATCATCAATAACTTCCATTCCAACAAGGAAATTCCCCTTGAGGAGCTGACCAGGAACACTTCTGATGCCTTAAACTAGATTTGCTATGAGAGCCTGACAGACCCTTCCAAGCTGGACTGTGGGAAAGAGCTGAAAATTGACATCACCCCAACCCCCAGGAATGCACATGGCCTCTGGTGGACACCGGCAATGGCATGACAAAAGCTGGTCTTGGGAACCACTGAGGCTGGTACAGACATCTCTATGATAGGAAAATTGGGGGCAGCAAATTAGGGGCAAATTGGGGGTGGCATTTATTCTGAGCAAGTGGTTTGTGATCACAATGCACAAAGATGATGAGCAGCTTGCCTGAGAGTCTTGTGTATGTGCAGACAGACCACAGTGCCCCACTGCCTGGGATACCAAAGTGACCCTCCACCTTAAGGAAGACCAGTCAGAGTGACAGAACTAGAGGAATGGAGTCAAAGAAGTGGTGAAGAAGCACTCAGGTCTCAGGTTATCCCATCCCATCACACTTTATTTGCAGAAGGAATGCGAGAAAGAAATGAGTGATGATGAGGCATAGGAAGAGAGCGGTGAGAAAGAAAAGGAAGACAAAGATGAGGAAAAGTCCAAAATTGAAGATGTTGGCTCAGATAATGGGGATGAAATTGTTAAGGATAAAAGAAAGAAAAGAATACTAAGAAAAAGCCTCCCCTGGTGGCGCAGCAGTTGAGCCCTGGGCTGCGAAGCTGCCCGCAACCTCTGCAGCGCCAGTTCGTGATCCCCGGCCACTGGTGAGGGTCCTACATGGTGTGCAGACCTCTCCTGCCATGCCCGCTGCTCCCCTCAGCAGTGTATTTCGTCGGTCTGCCTGTTCTGTTCCCAGCTCTGGCTCTGGTGAATTCTCTCACCCTCCCGCGCTTCTGACTGTGCCCAGTGCTTGTATAAATAAATAAATAAATCTAAAAAAAAAAAAAAGAAAGAAAACTAAGAAGGTTGAGAAATACACTGATCAGGAAAAACTGAACAAGACTGAGCCCATTTGGAGCAGAAGCCCTGAGAGTGACGTGACCCAGAAGGAATCAGGAGCGTTGTGGAAGAGCCTGACCAATGAGCCTGACCAATCACCTGGCAGTCAAGCACATTCTCTGCATAAACTGTAATTTAGGTCATTGCTATTCTTTCCACTACATAGGCAGTGAGCTCTCTGACCTTAGCCTTGGGCTGATTTTTTTTTTTTTTTTTTTTTGGAACTGACTCCAAAAGCAACAGCAAGAGAGCAAAAATAAACAAATGGGGCTGTGTGAAACTAAGAAGTTTCTGCACAGCAAAGAATTCAACAAAATGAAAAGGCAACCTACTGAATGGAGAGAATATTTGCAAATTATATCTAAGAGGCTAATATCCAAAATATATGAGTTTAAAAAAAAAAACTCATAGCACTCAATAGCAAAAAAAGCACAATCCAATGAAAATAAAAAAAACACTTTCCCAAAGATGGCCAACAGGTGCTCATCATGACCAACATCAGGGAAATGCAAATTGAAACAATAATGAAATATCACATCACACCTGTTAGAATAACTATTATTAAAAAAGAAAAAAATAATGAGTGTTGGGGCAAGAAGACTTGGTGTACACGTATGCACAATGCAACGTTATTTAACCATAAAAACAGAATGAAATCTTGCCATTTCTGACAACATGGTTGAACCTTGAGGACATTATGCTAAGTGAAATAGACAAAGAGAGACAAATCATGATCTCACATGTGGAATCTAAAAAAGAACCTAAGCGCATAGACACAGAAGAGATTGGTGATCACTAGAGGCAGAGGCTGGGATGGCCAAAACGGGGTAGACAGAATCAAAAGGCGACTAGTTAATAATACTGTACTACATATGTGAACGTTGTTGAGAGAATACCTCTTAAAAGTCCTCATCACAAGAGAAAAATGCGTAACTGTATGGAGAAGGATGTTGGCTAGACTCTTGTGCTGATCACTTCATAATAAAAACAAATAACTTCTCATGCAGTACACCTGAAACTAATAAACTATTACACCACGTTTGTTTAAAAAGCCCTAAAAATTGTTGCCCACAAAGAGCAAAAGGAATAATAATGTAAGATGGGGTTTATAACATATGTAGAAATAAATTACATATCACATCAGCAGAGAGAATGGTAGGTAAATAATATACTGTTATGAGCTTTTTATACTCCCTGTGAAATAGTATGATATATTACTATGGGCTGTTACAGAAATGTCATACAGAAATGTCATCTATTTATATATAAGTATAAGCAGCACGTATGTGCAGACATACATACTCACACACACACATATGAGACAGAGTCCATGTTTCACCCTATTAGTACAGAACACAACAAAAGTTATAAACTCCTCCTTGTGAGAGGGAGCATAAAGGATCCACTAGATGATTCAGGCTCTATAAGCCCTAGGGGTATTTTGAAGTAATTGAGCACATGCCTTTGTTCTTTGCATCTCCTTAGCTTTAAAGTTTTTGATGTCAATGCTACCAGAAGAGAACAAGACAGGAAGAGCTGGTGAATGTGGCTGCCACAGCCACTGTAGCCATTCCACCTACCCCTGTTTTCTAATGACGTGGGACTTCTTGCTTCAGCCTCAGATCAGCCACTGTGGCCCAAGTCCGTGGACTCAGAGGTGGCATTTGCTGATGGCCACTGCCCATTCACTCTACTTAACCCAGGAGGCCACTGGAAATAGTCCAAGGGCCCACGGAGGAAGAGGAACATTGTTTCCCAGAAGTAAATACAGCTCAGCTTGTACTTTGGAACAATTGGTCAACTTGCTACTTGCACAATCTGCTCGCAGACGTGAGGTGCTGCGTGCTCACCACCATGGCAGAGTCGCCCGGGCTCTTCACCCTCTGCCTTTTAGGGTGTCTCCTCGCTGCTGAATGTGCAGGTTGGTTTCCTTTTTAAAGATAGATTGAGTCAAACTGCATTTAGATCTAGAAACATCTGTACTGTCTTCTTCACTAAAAAAATGGTTACAGGATTCGACAGCAATGTTTGAGATTCTGGAAGTCAGCATGTGGGCTGGAAGGTACTGTTTCTCTGCTAGTGGGGTCTTCTTCATTTTCATAACTGAACAGTTACAATGTTGATGGTACATGTTTTTCAAGCGGACTCAGTGGGCCTATCAACTGCAATGTAATTTCTGTGAGAAATCAGTCATCTCCTTGTGTAAGAAAAATGGGAAAATATTTTAATAAGGAAATAGCAGATAGGAAGAAAAAATGAACTGTGTTGTTTTGACTTTTAATTCACCACTTTGAAATCAAAATGGGAAACATTAAGGCTGAAAACAATACTGCTATTAACGCAAAAAGCTTGATTTTAAGATGCAAGTGTTTCAAAGTTTAGCACTATATAATGAAGCATGTTTCGCATTTTAAAAACCTGTATCATTATGTGACCTAAATTTAAATTTTCAGTTAAAATACAGACATTAAACTACTCAGTAAGTTATTTACCATGAAAGTTTTTCATGGACTGGGAAGAAATCATTTTGTCTCTGATTCTAAACATCTTGGAGTTAATATGTGGGGAAATTCAATACCCACTTGAGCACTTAGGGGAGCAATGTTAAGTCCAAGAATTGACATAAAAAGTAGGAATTTCGTCACTGCAATGAATATCCATTTGTTTATTCACAATGAGCTGTTCATAACTTGGACACGCTCCCCAAAGTAGGGTGCACACGGAAGAAATGATCCCACTCAGACAAACAGCATGTTCTCACAGGAAGGATTTACCACACTTGCTTGTCAACCTACCATCATCAAATCTCGTAATTTGACAACATGAGGATCAGGGGTGCCAACCCTAGTCATCCCGAGAAAGCAGACTGGCTCTGTGCCCCCACTCCAGACATGATGTCAGACTGAAATGCAGAAATAATGATACGAGAATGCAAAGGTTAAATCAAACCAGCAAAGTGGGTAGAGTCGAGGAATAAAGAAACTGCTGGAAAACTCACAAGTGGGACATAAAGCGAAGTCTTCACACATAGCTCATCAGTGTGCAGTGTCAGAGGACAGAGGCTCCCAGCCCTTCCTTCAAGATAAGTGGTGAGATGATGGAGGTTTTAAGAGAGCTCCTGCCCCCGTGCAGACCTCAGACATTGCAGAAAGGATAGATGCAGAGAAAAATGAGAGAAAAGGGTTTCAGAGCTGGGGAGACGATGACAAGAAGAGATAAATCTGAAGGGAGGTTAAATGTATGAACGGCAGATAATACTGAGGAGAAAGGGACTGTGTTTCTGGAGTCCCGGCAGAGATGACAGGCCCTGGAGGACAGGGCCAGGGCAGCCTCCCTCAGGCCCCGGTACTGGTGCCGCACTCATGTCCACTGTTAAACCCTCACGGGCTTCTGAAAGCAGTTTCTGTGAATGATTTACTGAGATGCTGCATTTTCAGGCCTGCTGCATTTATTTATTTCTGCATCGATTTGGAATTTTGAAATCAAAACTGTTCTGTGAACTCAATTTGGTTCTGTAAAGTGTACAGACCAACACTGTCTTTCATTCAGAATGAATGAATGAAATGAATGAATGAAAGGCTGCATCATCGGTGCCTTCTACAGGACAGAGTGGCCACGCCACATCCAGGAACTGTGGAAGGAGCTAAGCGGAAGCCAGCCCTCTCTGACCTAAAGAAATGCCGATACAAAGAGTCAATACACAACAGCAAAGTGTGTCCCAGGACTAACGGAGCACAGAGAAAGGGGTACATGAACTCGGGGAGCGCGGGACAGAGAGACGACATTTTGAGCAGGACTTAACGAGCCGCTTCGCTCTCCGTCAGAGCCTGATCAAGGGCATCGTGGGCAGAGAAGACCAGTCACGTGGCTCCACGAAGGCTGCGTGGGTTTCAGGAAGTCAGTGCCCTCTGAACACCGAGCACCCAGTGAGGCGGGCTAGCTGGGCAGGGCGGCTCATCGGGTGACGAAGGACCTGGACGAAGGAGCTGGAATGACAGACCACCCTGAGGCGGCCCCAGGGGCATAACTGTGAATACTGGTGGCGGACCTGGGACCTGCACCTGGCCACGTGCCAGTGAACTGTTGGGGGGGTGGCAAGACAAGGGGACCTGTCCCAAGGTCCTGAGATCATCCAGGAAGACACATCCTGATCATTAGCTGCAGGAACAGAGATGAGGGGAAGGAATGTGAGGGAAGTTATGGAAGTGGAAGTAGGACTTAGCCACTGGGTAGGAAAAGGGAAGGTGAGCGGAAGGGCCAGCAGTGGGTCTCAGGCCCCTGATGGGGTTATGGGACACAGAGCCGTGTCTGAGAGCGTGGGCTGTGCCATTTGGCTGCCCAAGACCAGCTCGGGGCTCTAACGCTGCAGTCTGTTACCCAGGGCAAGGGGCAGAGCCTCTCCGGACTGCCATTGCTCTCATTTCCAAAAAACGAGAGGATGGTGTCATCTCACGGGGCGGCTGTGAGGATGGATAGACACAGTGGACGCAGAGTGTGCTGCACATCAGAAGCCTTCACTCAACACCAGCTGTGGTTGCCACATCACGACCGCGTACTTAAGGAGCAGTGAGGACAGCCTGGCATCCGGAGGTTCTAGCCAACGAGAGACAGTTGTTGGGAGCTCAGTGGTGACAACCAGGTGCGTGAGGGTGCAGAGAGAGAGCAGGGGGTCCCATGGCCCAGCACAGTCAAAACATTCTGTGGAGTCAGGGCGGGACGAGGGAGAGACCCGCAAGGTGCCCGGGGCACCAATGGACTCGCACAAAGCACACCCCTCCAACTGGGTGCCCTAGTGGCCTTACTGACCTCGCCCTACTCCTGGCCCTGGCAAGGACGTTTGGAGGGAAAGAGAGTGATTCATGGGACGAGTACCCGCAGAAGGGAGACAGCAGTAATTACAAGTGTGCCAGAGCTGTTAGGAAACACACACTCAAATTACCCCTTGGAAGTGACCGCTGATCTGACAATAGTCACTTCACTATCTGGATGGCAGCAAAGAAGGGGAAGAGCTACAGAAAAGCATGGTCAAGACCTAAAGGGATTCTAGAAAGTTGGGAAGAACCGACACAGCAGCCTGCGCTGCTCATCTCACTGATCCTGTCAGCAACAGGCAGACGTGATGGTAGCGGTGTTTTGCCTGTTTGACATTTGTCCAAGTTAAGCGTCAGAGATGCTGTGACTGGCGTAAGGTCACACAGCCAGCAGGTGGCGAATGTGGGACTGAAATCCAGGTGTCTTCTGATCTGACTCCACACCCGTTTTCCTGCTTGACCACACTGCAAGTGGGTGCAGACATGCATGCTGTCCCGGGGCCAAGCAAATGAACTGGGAGCAGAGACAAGGGCCCGGTGGAGGCTGGGAGACCTCAATATGGGGTGCAGCCTGGTAAATTCCGCCCCCAATGCTCAGCTGCCTCAAAAGGAAGGTGGCAGATGACTGTGCTGAACTAGAGGTTGGGGTATGGCAGGGTATGGCAGCACTGAAGAAGGGGTACAGGAGCGGAAAAAGCTGGCAAGTGAAGAGTTGGAGAGAAAAATCTAAACCAATTGAACAAGAAAGAGCAGCCCTGAGGTCTTGCAGAGCAAGAGAAAAGCCGGGTGGTCAAGGGACTCAAAGGCTCCGCAGACTGAACAGCAGCCATGAAATAAAGGAATATAGTTTAGTTTGTTGCTTTTCCTGATTTTATTTTTTTAGTTAATGAGAAAGCGGTCCCGAAATGCCCTGGAAAGTTCCTATTACAAGCACCTGGGCCTGCTGAGATGCGTCAGAGAGTCTCTTAAAGAAAGGAATATCTCCAGGCAACTCCTTGAGTGCCTGTAATTAACTACAGAAATAAATTCTCCTGATCTGATCGATAGAGGCATGAGCGGGAAAGAGAGACTGACAAGAGAAGGGAGAGAAAGCGAAGGAGGCAGGAGAGGGCTAGGTTAGTGTTTCTACCTCCAGAGCTCAGGAGTGTCCCCACAGGCAAGGCTGTCACAGCTAAAATCAACCACATCCTGTACCTCAGAAAAGACGTCACTGGAATTCCTTTAACACATGCCAACTGAGAGGGCTGGGAATCTCAAGATACAAAAATTAATGCAGCGATAGCTTCAACATCAAGTGAGAGACACTGGGTTTGCATTTGCCGTTGGACCGCAAATAGGCTTCTGTTCTTCCAAGAGAAATTTGGTGAAAAGTCATCCGGGCAACCATATCCTGAAAACACAGCCTGGCCAGGTGACGGGTCCTACTTGAAGGATCCGTTAGCTATTTTCTTTTTTTTTTTTAAAGATTTATTTATTTATATATTTATACAAGCACTGGCTACAGTCAGAAGCACGGGAGGGTGAGAAAATTCACCAGAGCCAGAGCGGGGAGCAGAGCAGGCAGAAGGACCGAAGGACACTGCTGAGGGGAGCAGCGGGCGGCAGGAGAGGTCTGCGCGCCTTGTGGGACCCTCACCCGGGGATCGAACCGGCGCTGCAGAGGCTGCGGGCAGCTTCGCAACCCAGCGCTCAACCGCTGCGCCACCGGGGAGGCCCCCGTTAGCTATTTTCAAATGATGACAAAGTGTGCAGCTAAACTGTTGATTTGAGAACTTTCTTTTTCATCCAAAATAAATTCAATACCATTGGAAATATGACCTTTTATTACTGGCGCTCTCTTGACTGAAAGCAGACTTGAATTTTAATTCCTAAATCTCCATGTGCACACAGCATGAGGACACAGCCACCGATTTTGGCTCCACGCCCCCAAAGATGAATGGGCTTTGTGATTATTTGGATTAAAAACAAAGGCTTTCTTAAGAGGCGCATTTCATTTTCATGATGCTTTCTTTGGTCTGGAACTAAAGAATAATTCTTATAATTCTTTTACATTTCAGTTTTTCTTGACCACGAAAATGCCACCAAAATTTTGAACCGGCCAAAGAGATATAACTCGGGTAAACTGGAAGAGTTTGTTCAAGGAAACCTGGAGAGAGAATGCATAGAGGAAAAGTGCAATTTTGAAGAAGCACGAGAAGTTTTCGAAAACACTGAAAAAACGGTGAGTATGTCCGCATCAAATCCTTCAGAGGCAAAGCACAGAAAACCTACACAAAAATAAAAACTTCACTTTGGAGTTTGAAAACAGCCATCCAGCTAGGGACACTATAAATGCAATCAAAGAGAAGGCATCAGCTCTGAAACATTTTAAGACTACCATTAATTTTTCCTCTTTTGTTTCTTTGTAGACTGAATTTTGGAAGCAATACGTGGGTAAGCATTCATTTTATCCTCTCGCTGGCCTGGGAGACATTTGAGGGTTAGGTCTTCTTCCCCCTCTGTGTAAATAGTTGAAATGTTTAACTCTTTCAAAAGGCCTCATAAAATAAGTCCAAATTGTTTACCTCAGATGGCATGGCGACAGGCTACAGGTTCTTGCCAGCAGGAGAGATTTCAGGTGGCAGAAGAGCTTACTTCTCTCTAGGGCTTCAAAAAGAATATTCTTCCACCCCAGGAAGCTAGAAGAAAGAAATGGAAAGGCTGCATCTCAGGATGGAGTTTTCCGTGCTCAGCAGAGAATCAGAGAACAGGAAAGGACTTAAATGTTTACTGCTTAAAAGTCTTCACCTGATCATGGCTTACAAGGCCCTCCACGATTGCCCCTCTCCCCTCCCCACCTCCCTGGGGACCGCCTCTCCTATTGCTGCTCCTCCTCACACTGGGCTCCAGGCTGCCTGGCGCCCCTGCTGTCCCTAGCATACTCCAGGAATGCACCCCCCTGACGGTGTCTGATGGCGCTGTCCCTCCAGTGGAATGCTCTTCTGCACAGGCTTGCCCCCTCGCCTCCTCAGGCCTTCACCACATGCTCCCGTCTCATGAGGTTTACCACCATCATCTCTTTAAGATTTATTTTATTTATACAAGAACCAGGGTACAGGCCAGATGCGCGGGAGGGTGAGAGCATTCACCAGAGACAGAGTGGGGAGCAGAACAGGTGCCATCATCTCTTGATGTGCCCACCCTGCCCCGTCCAAGACCATCAGCCCAGAGAGGGGCCCTGCTCGACTTGCTCTCCACATTCCTTGGCATCCTGGGGATCCTGCAGGGCTTTCCTTTACTATTTGTTCTTTCTTTGTCCCACCTCGCTGGAATGCTAGTCGGCTGTTCTGTGGCTGGGTCCTAGCACCCTGAACCTCTGGGTCAGAGGCACTGAGTGCTTTTCTGTTGAGCGAGCTGGCCAAAAGGAGGAAAGGTCCAAACCTTTATGACAGCTAAGTTTCAAAACAAGTTTCAAATCCAGCAGCAGGATTTTGAGAAGTGTTCAGTTGCACAGGCCTCTCGGCTAAAGATCAGCTGTGTAGACAGAAGCTAACCTGCCGCCAACTCTGGGTCTCAGCCATCTGAGCGCCATGTGTTCGTCCTGTCTTTCTGGAGATACTGAGGATGTGTTCACACTCTCGTAACTCATTTCTCCACTTTTGTTTTTAAATCATGAGGGAGGACGAGGTCGCGCGGTTACATGGCCTGTGTCGGCCTTTGTCTTCCTGTGTCTTGCTCTTGGTAGTGAACACGACCCAGCCAACTCTCCACTGAGCTTTCCCCCGCCCGTAGTGCAAACAAGTCTCCGTAGTCTCTACTGCTACCATATTTAAAAACTTGAACCTTGTGATATATTTTTAAAAAACAAATCAATGTCTACTCTCCCCCAACCCCTAAAAAAATATTCCTGGCTGTCATTAAAACCCCCATAACCTTTCTACCGCCCATCCCCTGACTTGGCCTCGCCCAGCCAAGCAGAGGCTGCAAAGTACTTCCAAGGCTTCCATTTTGCAGTTGGAGCTGCCTCCCGGGTCACAGGCTGCATTGCTGGGTAAAGAGACCTGGGCAACAGCAAGCGCATGATGCTGTCACTGCTCTGGCAACCAACAAATAAAACGAAAGCAAAACAAGGTCCTGCCTCTTTCACTTACAGTTAGCATTCCTACCCCCCAAAAGCAGCCTCTGCCATTGCTCATTGTACAGATTCAGACATAGCAGGCCAAAGGCCCTCATTCCTGTCCTGCTCTCCACCATCAGTTCGCCACATAAAGAGCCTGGCTGAAGGAGAAATGTTGTCCAACCACATTGACTGGCATCTGCCAAGCACTTTCTAGTTTACAAGACTGCCTGTTCCATTTAACCCTCACACCAACCCTGTGGGCAAAGCATTCTTAACCTCATTTTACAAAGGAGGAAACTGGGCTTAGAGAGGTTAAGGGACTTCCCAAAGGGCAGTCATGGAGCCCAGAAGAGCACCCAAGTTCTCTCAGGCCCCAGCCCTGGCTTTCACCATTCCCCCTCCAGGCCTTCCAATCTAAAGGCAGTTATTCATTAACCATCTACCTAACCATCTACCTTGTGGCCATAAACTGGAATCTGTCGCTTGGCAAGGCCTTGTCCCTTGTTGTCTTTGACCCCTAATATCTGTGGCTTTGCCTCAGCCCGAAGTATACACAGACAAGTGCCCAGAGGAGGACTAAATGCAGGAGAAAATGACACTCATTTTAAAGATATGTCTCAGCAAATGAGTTGCTGTGTAGCTGGCTGCGAGCCCAGACCCTTTCAGTGAAACATCCTAAATAATTCAGATCCATTGGTCTATAATATAAAGTGCAAATGTAGCTCATTTTTTAGACCAGTTCTGAACATCAATAATAATAAACCAGAGATAACGCATTTTGTTTTCATAGAATTGGAACAAATTAAAGTATTTGTGCAAAAGCACATTGGATCAAGGGGCAGAGGGGACAAGGTCTAATTTTGACAGCAAGCACATTTTCCAGAGAGGGACTAATCTTGAGAACGGGCTATTAGTCTCTGAATCAGTGGGACCAGGGCACAGTCCCCTGACAACACGGCAGCTGAACCCCAGCACACCCCGGAATAGGCAGGGAGATTCACTCTGAAGTCTGAAGCCTGAAAACTCACAATGTCTCTGAAATTTCCTTTCTGTCAGTCTTTTCTTCTTGTCATCTTTACCTGTTACTCTTCTGTTTCTCCTATAGCGAGTCTTCCCCATCTAGGTCCCATCCTTTTCCTATAGGTCCGCTTGTCTCGGCACAAAGCCCGGAGCAGTCTCTGTTCTGTTTCTCTGCATCCTTTTCTCCTGAAGCTTCCTTAGAAGTTGGCATCGAGGCAGAGCCCTAAAATCCAGACTGAAAGGTTCCCTTCTCCTGAGCCTTCCCCTCTTACCTAGTCCCCGCAGACACCCTGTCTGCTTACCAGCGATGTCTTCAAAGGCACTCGACAACTCTGTAAATGTAGAAACTTCAGGAAAAGTAGAATGGAAACACAGCCAATGGATAGATAAGTACATAAATATGGCTCCATTCCAGAACCTTCTTTCATTCTTTGCACTGAAAGTTGTTCATTATTTGACCTTGACCATTTAGACCCTACCTCAAAGGCAGTAGAATATCTTTAAGCAGTAACACATGTTTCTGGCATCTTTTCTATTGTTTTGACCATGGCTGCATATACACTCAAAAGTGAACTGATGACACAAGGAGGTTACCATGGCTCCCTGTCTGATTCTTGAGTGGACATACCAGATTTTAGGGAGCTCGGTGTGTGCTGGAGAGGCAGGAGTATAGGCTTTAGCTCACACACAGGGAATACGGCTGGCTCAAGAATGAACTCCACCATCATTCTATAAAAAAGAACTGGAACCCCTCCTCACCCTATGCTCAGGCCGTTCACTTCGGTACTCTGACGTTCTCTTTCCTCTCCCTTGGGGGGCATAAACTATGAGCAGAGCTTCTTCAAGGCAACTGCCTAGGACAACACTGGCCTATGAATCATCATTTCAGTTGCTCTAGAAGCTCAGGAAGACAGGGGTCTTCCATAGACAGCTGGTCAGGAGTCCTGCTCTGACCCTAAAGTCAGGTGCCCCGCCCCATGAGTCTGTGCAGGGAGGACTGGGAACGCGAAGCAGTTCACATAAAAACTGGACTTCTCACCCTGTTTTCAAGATGGAGATCAATGTGAGTCCAATCCATGTTTAAATGGCGGCATATGCAAGGATGACATTAATTCCTACGAATGTTGGTGTCAAGAGGGATTCGAAGGAAAGAACTGTGAATTAGGTAAGTAATGGGCTTGGGATGACCTATGGCCCGAAGTTTCCCTTGAGCCCAGATGAAACTGGGGAATGAAGTATCTATCATCAGTTTTCTCTTGAAAACACATACATTTTGTTGTGGCAAAGAACAGCACTGAACCTGACATCTGCCCTCTTCGCAAATCTTGCCATGTAGGAGGCAGTGTTGGTAATTCAAGGCATGAGGCTGTGCAGCACAGTTCTCCAACTTGCTCATCTCATGTGACTGACTTTATAGCTGCTGAACAGTCACACCCCACCTTCCCCCAACCCCTGGCAAGCACACCTGTGCTCTCTTCTTCGTGTCTGACTATTACAGACACCTCGTGTAAGTGCCATCAGGTAGCGTGTGTCCTTCTGTGACAGGAGTATGTCATTTTCGCATAATGTCCTCCACATCCATCCATGTTGTTGCAAATGGCAGGATTTTCCTTTTCCTAAAGGCGGAATAAAATTCTGTGTACAGAACACGGACTTAGAAACACTCGCTCTATCTGAGTGGGCATTTCCAGGGTAGTTTAAGAAACTAGCACAAGAGCACTATTAACTTTTGGTAGCCACTACTGCACGATGATAATGATGTCTCCTCGCTTTACTTCTCACTCGTCAACACAATCGAGAGCAGTCCTGCCCATCGTTACCCCCTCCCATGCAGCTGAGAACACAGTAGCTCCAACAGCTACAAATCACAGAGGCAGGAAACAGCTGAGCCAAGTCTTGGTCTGCAGTTTGACCAAAACTCACGTTTCTAACTACAATCCACAACACTCAAGGGAAAGCAACAACGGCAGTCAGGGACGCCAGGCCAGCTCACCCACGTAGCAGGCACTTCCCCCCCAACACACGGACTGTTTCATACCTCAGATTTATTGACACAAATCAGAGCCCCTCCCCACATGTGGCTATACTGAGTCCACGGGCACAGCAAACCCAGGCTTGCCATGTGCCTTTTCTTCTCACAGCCTAGCATATTGTTTCTTGAGGCTTTGGCTGTGAGAGGCATGGCCCCCAAAGTCCTTTGCCTACTTGTTGATTTCTCTGGATGTGAGGCATGGGGATTGGAAAAGTATGCTGTGCTAATGACCCATCAGTTTTCTACCCTGACACTCCAGAAGGCTAGAAGGCAACTCCACAGAAAGAATTTAACCCCACACGCTCCATGAGGAAGGGCAAAGAGTAGACAACTGCAGGACTCTATGAAGGCCGTATGGCAACCCACCTACCACGCAGATGAAAAAGGCCTAAATCAAAAAGAGACACAGAAGCTGCACTTGTCCCACTGAGAGAAGTAAAAGCCACCTGTGACATTGTGCAGAAATCCACTGGTCCTCTTCCTCTGAGATCTCAAGATAAAAAATAGCAGAAAAGGGTAAGGTGGAAGGAGAAACATTTACAAAGAAATAAGCGAGTGAATACAGGTGGATGAACTGGTAGACAAGCTTTGGGCTCCCACCCCTCAGGTTTCCCGGTGTGAGCACAAACCAACAGCTCTGTTACCTTTCCCGTGGGGGTGTGCCTGGTTCAACCTGTCCACAGCCCTGCTTTCGTCGCAAACGTTAGCATGTCCGGTTCACACTTGCCTAGATAATGTGGCCCTGCTATTAGGGAAACCGATGGAAATGTGGGGGTCATTGCTCATTATCAGCTTAAATCATATAACTATTGGAGCTGAGTAATGAATAACTTAATTCATCTCAGTTAAGAATGAAAGGAACAGGGCCTCCTTGGAGGCACAGCGGGTTGAGCACAGCACTGTGAAGCTGTCCGCAGCCTCTGCAGCGCGGGTTTGATCCCGGCAGGCCGGCAAGAATCCCACATGGCACAGCAGACCTCTCCTGCCTCGCCCGCTGCTCCCCTCAGCAGTGTACTTCGGTCCTTCTGCCTGTTCTGCTCCCCGCTCTGTCTCTGGTGAATCCTCTCACCCTCCCGCACCTCTGGCCTGTACCCCAGCTCTTACATAAAATAAATAAATCTTAAAAAAAAAGAATGAAGGGAACGGTGTACTAAAGTACCACTGGACATAGTGTTGGCATGATGTTCCCAGATGTCTTTAGTTCAAAAACACACACCCTTGAGCAGAGAAGCGGAGCCTTGAGGAAGGTAAATATAAGCACAAAGCATCTCTAACAGGCCTTGTCATGCATGAGAGGCCACAGCCCGCACAGCAACAGTGCTCCCCCGACAACCAGCACCATCTGGGGCTTGCCCTGCAGTCGCAAGTTGCTGGCCACCGCCCCTGGGCTCCAGGGTCTGCTGATCCCTCCCATACCCTGCCCTTCTGATCAAGGTCCAGAAATTTCTTTTACGGGGACTGTGCTCAGCTAAGTCAGTCAGGAGAAAGACAAATGCCTGATGATTTCACTCCTGTGTGGACTATAGAGAAACCAAACAAATCAGCTGAGAGAACTAAACCAAACCAACCCTGAAAATCTGACTAGAATCAAAGCTACCAGAGGGGAGGTATGGTGGGGAGCAAAGTGCGAAGGGGACCCAATGGACTAAGGTGGAGGGCTGTGGGTGCCTCAGTGGCGCATGTGGTATGGTGACATCCACCTGAAGAGGCAGAAAGCTATACCCCATACAGTGTTGTAAACAAGGTCATCGCAACAACAACAAAAAAAAATCAGTAACACTATTGAAAAACAAAGAAAAAAGAAAAATCCTCTCAGTTCAGTTCAGAAACGAAGTGGGAACCCTCCCCGAAAGCTCTTAGCCACTAGAGAAGAGGACGCAAAAGCACGCACAAACTGATCAGTTGCTGCTTCAAACTCAACTACAGACCGACCTCTGGAGCTGCCAGGTGGAGCACTTGGGGGACGTTCCCAGTGCCCTGCCTCACCCTGTCCATCCACGGGGAAGGGAGCGGACATTTACATCGTGAAGACTTGGTTGTTTTCCTTTTCCCTTGCTCATCAGGCTCCTCTCCAGGGGAGAGAGATGCAAATATCCAGGGCCGCCTAATGTGAAGAATGACACTAATTGACATTGTAGCCCTTTGGCTGGAATAAAGATGACGAGTGTCCCCCGCTACACATCACACCTGAATCCTTTTCAGACAGATCAAGGCCTGCAAGAACTCACCACTCCTGGCCCTTCCAAAGTAAAAATGATAATTACAAGCACATAAAGAAAAAACAGTAATTACAAGCACATAAACACTTTTTGTTTCATTTGTTAACACATCACAGACATTACTGTCTTATTGACTGTATTTCTATGGAGTGCAGAGAAGAAAGCATCTTGAGTCTAACAGAATAACAGCATGTTCTGCAGTAAACCTGCTAAACAGAAAACCTTTTGTCCAAGCTTTGGTTTTCACATCAGTGACTATAGCAGGGATACAGTCCGGGAACACTTCCTTAGCTCCTGGACCACAGGACTTCGTCTCCGGAATTCCCTGTGCTATCATGCTATGTCTGCATAGCATAAGTGTAGGGCCTACATCTGAGGGTGCAGTATCTCCCACAACGTGTGTAAACCACCCTGGAGAGCAACAGCAGCAGCCACGTGAAGAGCAATGACAAGGGGGAACATGCTGGAGAGGGCTGATGACTTAGCCCAAGACACAAAATCAGAAGGGGGGAAGCACCCTGAGGTGATGCTTTCCCACTGAGCCTTCCCTGGACCAAGCCAGGCCGCAGCTCCACTACCCAGGCTAGCTAATCACAATCTCCTGCTGACGGAACTCTTTCTAAAGGGGTATTTGATTTGGCTGGACATTTTAGAACTGCTTTGTACCAACAAAATGACAGCTAGTGACATGAGAAGAACCAGAGACCTGATCACCTTTAATGAGGAGAAAGGTCTCTAAAAAATAAATTAAGGGCCTCCTGGTGGCGCAGCGGTTGAGCACTGGGCTGTGAAGCTGCCCGCAGCCTCTGCAGTGCCGATTAGATCCCCAGCTGTGGGGGGAGGGCCCCACATGGTACACAGACCTCTCCTGCCGCCTGCTGCTCCCCTCAGCAGTGTACTTCATCAGTCTGCCTGTTCTGCTCCCCGCTCTGGCTCTGGTGAATTCTCTCACCCTCCCGCACTTCTGACTGTATCCAGTGCTTGAATGAATAAATAAATAAATCTTTAAAAAATAAATTAAAAACATGAAGTACCATCCTTTTAGGTCATACACTTTGTGGATCATTGGTAGCAAAGGTTAAAGCTCAAGCTGGTTCCACTGTCCACTTGGCAACAGTTGATTTGCTCCAGTATTTCCAGAAGTTTCAGTAAGGAATATGAGCTGCTTGTTACATGAGTGGGCTCTGGCCTATGAAAAATGTTAGAAATTTTAGATCTGGCACTCAAAAATCCACAATATACTCCCAAACCACAAAATCATTCTGTCATTCCAAACCCCTAGCCAGGCTCACAAAGGAAAAAAGGGAGAAAGCACAAATAAACAGGATCATAAATGAAAGAGGGAAATCACAACAGACACAGCAGAAATCAAAAGAATAATCAGTAACTACTATGAACAGTTATATGGAAACAAGTTCAACAATCTAGAGGAGATGGACAAATTCCTACAACTCTACAATCACCCAAAGCTAGATAAAGAAGAAATAGAACACCTAAACAGACCAATTACAAGCAGCGAAATTGAAATGGTAATCAAAAACCTCCCAAAAAACAAAAGCCCTGGACCTGATGGATTTACAAATGAATTCTACCAAACATTCAGAGATGAATTGGTGCCTATCCTTCACAAACTCTTCCAAAAAATTGAGAAGGAAGAGACAATACCAAACACGTTCTATGAAGCCAACATTACACTAATACCAAAACTGAATAAGGACAACACAAAAAAGGAAAACTACAGGCCAATCTCCCTAATGAACACTGATGCAAAAATCCTCGACAAAATTTTAGCTATCAGAATCCAACAATGTATCCATAAGATAATTCACCACGACCAAGTAGGATTCATTCCAGGGGCACAAGGATGGTTTAACATCCGAAAATCAATCAACGTTATCCAACACATCAACAAAA